TGGTTGAATGATGAGACCAAAATTGCACTGTTTGTCATGGATCCAATGCGAACATGAACTTGGTTCCTCTGCTGCCTCCTGCAGATGCCAAGAAGAGGTTTTGCATCTCCTAGCTAGGTCTGCACCAAGATCTCAATTAAGTATCAACAACTACTGTATATAGGTGAAGAACCTTTCTTTTCCTCCGGGCCGGATCTGTATGTATTTTCCTTTTAAGATCAGAGATGGCAAGTGCTCTCGTGATTTGCTCCAGTTGTTGAACTGATACTTGCTAGTGACTAACAGCAAGCAGAATCCTTTTTTCCTTCCTTTGGTCAGAAAGAATCCCTTGACCATTCTGCTCTCCTCCACTGCACATCTCTCCGCCGACGCCAAGCACCAACCTTCTTCGAGTAATAGCGGCAGGTACGTATTGATCACCTAGTAGTATGTATGTCGATCAAAAAGTGTGAGTGTAGTGTACTGAACTTGGTTGCTCTGCCTCCTGCTGCAGGTGTCAATGGGTTTTGCAGCTCCTCGCTAGCTAGCTAGAAATGGGGGCTGGACGCCGAATTCTCTGTCTACACACTCGTCTGCTGCATTAATTCCACCGTCTCTGATTGACTGCAATCTGCAAACCCATGCATCTCTCTGGCACCTAGTGTAAGTGAACTTTTCATCTCCCATGGGCTCTTATTTTTCCTTTTTTGAGGGAGAATTAGTTTCTATCATTGCTATTTGCTAGTGACTGACTGCAAGCACATTTCTCGACCTTCCTGTGTGCAGCATCTATCTCGAGCACATTTATCAGCAACACACGTCAGGAGTTGAGGATGGACACGGCCATCAGTGCAGCAGTGTGGGTGGTAGGCAAGGCGCTGGCCCCTGTTTCGGATGGCTTGCTGGAGAACTGGGCGGCCTGCGACAGTCTCGGCCCCAACATCAGCACCCTTAAGAGGAAGTTGCTTCATGCGCAGGGGATACTATACACCGCGCACGGCAGGGACATCACCAACCCTGCGCTCAAGGACCAGCTGCACATGCTGCGGCAGCTGGCGGACGAGGCGAACGACGTGCTCGATGAGCTGGACTACTTCTGCATCCAGGACAAACTCGACAGCACCTACGATGCCGCTGATAACCATCCCGGGGGCTGCATCCACAACCTCAACCTCAATGTGCGGCACACTGCCAGAGCTTTTTTTGCCAATAAATTCAAGATTTCCCCATGCTGGCATGATGCTAATGGCGACGATCTTGACTCCCAAGAAGATGATGCAAAACAAGGATGCCTATCTGTTGTCCGCACATGCGGCGGGAAGCGTGTTGTTGGCAGTGGATGCATACCGAAGGGAGTCTCTAGTGGTGCTCATGTTGCCGGCCACGTTGTTACTACTCAGACAGGCATGTCAGAACCCTTGAAGGCACCACTAGTAGTTGGAGAAAAAAATAAGTTTCATTGTGTGGAGATGTCTAAGAAGATGGCAGAAATTGTACAACAGCTGGAACCAATGTGCGCTGAGGTGAAGGACATCCTTGATCTGGAGCTCCGCAAACCTACCCAAGGCAGCATTACTGGAAACAGACCCACAACCACCCCAGCAATAATAGAGATTGAGTTATTTGGAAGGAATGCTGAGAAAAAGGACATTCTAGATGGCATTAACAATGGAAAATATTGTACCGATGGGCTCACCGTGCTTCCAGTTGTTGGCCCAGGGGGTATTGGGAAGACGACTTTCATACAACATGTTTATCGAGAAGTGAAGAGCTCTTTTGATGTTATGATTTGGGTATGTGTGTCTCTGAGTTTCAATGCAAATAGGCTGACACAAGAGATTGTGCAAAACATCCCTAAGGTTAATGGTGAAACGGAAAATACTGTTGCAGAAGAGCTTATTGAGCAGAGGTTAAGACATAAGAGATTTTTGCTCGTCTTGGATGATATGTGGATATATCATGAGTATGAGTGGAAAAAACTGTTAGCTCCCTTTGAAAAAGGACATGAAAGAGGTAATATGGTTATTGTCACTACCAGAATTCCAGAGACAGCAACAATGGTAAAAACAATTGATTATCCGGTAGATCTGACTCGCTTAGGAGCTGATGATTTTATGCATTTATTTGAAAAATATGTATTTGGCGACCAGGAGGCATGGAAAGATCATCCTAAATTGCTTGATGTTGGTAAAGAAATAGTGGTCAATTTGAAGGGTTTCCCTCTTGCAGCAAAAACTGTAGGTAGATTACTGAGAAACCAACTTACATTGGACCATTGGACAAGAGTTTTAGAAAGCAAAGAATGGGAGTTACAAACTAGCGACTATGACATTATGCCAGCTCTGAAGCTAAGCTATGATTACCTCCCTTTCTATCTTCAGCAGTGTTTTTCCTATTGTGGTTTGTTCCCCGAAGATTATGAGTTTGGTAGCAAAGAGTTGGTTCACTTATGGATAGGGCTTGACTTTTTAGATTCATGTGATGGAAGGAAAACCATTGAAGATGTTGGGTTGCGATATTTAAATGACTTGGTTAATAGCGGTTTTCTCAAGAAGACCGAAAAAGATGATGGCAGCCATTGTTATGTTGTTCATGACCTACTGCATAACTTGGCAGTGAAGGTTTCATCATCAGAGTGCCTTAGCATATCAAGTTCTAATGTGAGATATGTACACTCTTCCCTATCTGTACGTCACTTGTCTATCATTGTAAATGAGAGCGATGTCAACGACAGATTGACCTTTGATGATTTTAAGAGCGACTTGAGTGCATTACATACAAAGTTGAAGGTTGAAAAGCTACAAACTGTGATGCTATTTGGAAAATACCATGGAAGCTTTGCAAAGGCTTTTGGTGATTTGTTTGCAGAAGCAAAAGCCCTTCGTGTTATTCTTTTGTCTGAAGCATCTTATAGTTATAAGTTGGAGGATGTGTTCCACAACATTTGGAGATTTTTCCATCTTCGCTACCTAAGGATAATTGCAGGAGATTTGACAAAATTAAGTTTGAACAGCAATATCTCAAGATTTTATCACCTGAGGGTCCTTAATTTTCAACAATGCAATGTCAACCTTGGTCCTCTCAGAGCAATAAGCAACCTTGTAAAATTGCGGCATTTTCTTGTCAAGGACATCGGTTTTGAATTAAAGCAGATAGCACAGTTAGCAGAGCTTGGTGGGTTGCTGAGAATCCATAATATTGAGAATGTTGAACGAAAGGAAGGAGCGAACAAAGCAAACTTGATACACAAAAACCACTTAGAGAAGCTAATATTGCGATGGGGTGTTTATGGGGACAACGCAAATTCTGTGCAAGAACAGGTTCTCGAAATTCTAAAACCACATAGCAATCTCCTAGATCTGCACAATGAAGGGCATAGAGGTGCTGCTTGCCCGTCATGGCTAGGTGGGAACCTCTCGGTTAAAAATTTGGAATCTCTTTGTTTGCATGATATAGGTTGGAAAACTCTTCCACCTCTAGGAGAGTTGTGGTCTGTTGGTGAGCTTGGTGAAGAGCGTCAAAGTAGTATCCCAAGTCAAAGTTTTCAAAATCTGAAAAGGCTAGAATTAGTTAAAATACCATGGTTGAGAAGATGGGTTGAAAATAGCACTTGTCGTTTGTTCTCTCAGCTAGAAGTGCTCATTGTTAAAGGTTGCTCTGAACTTGTGGAGCTGCCATTTTCACGCTGTCAATCAGAGCAAGAAGCTGCAAACATGACTTGGTTTCCTAGATTACAGAAGCTCGAGATTATGGACTGCCCGAAACTGCTGTCATTGCCTCCTATCCCTTGGACTCTTGGTCCATGCTCTGCCGAGATAATGGGGGTTGGATCTGGTTTTGAGGAGCTGTGGTACTCAAAAGAACACTCGTCTAAACTATTAAGCTTGAGTATTACGGGGAAGGGTGGTCAAGATGGCATGTTCTGGAATATTTTAGCATTCTCTAATCTAGCTGATCTAAACGAGCTGCGCTTGAAGAATTGCTCTCCTTTGCCAATGGATCATCTCCAGAAGTTAACATCACTGAAGTCCCTCGAAATAGAAAATTCGAGTAATGTCCTGTCGCCGACCGACAGTGAGAGTGATGTCACATACAAGATACCAATCGAATGCCTCTCGATCAGGTTTTGTGGTTCTGGTGAGAAGGAATTGACACAGTTGCTCTCTCATTTTCCAGATCTCAGCGATTTGGCAATACTTGATTGTGAAAAGATAACAAGGGTTGGTGTGGTGGAGCAGCAGCAGCAGGCGACAAGAGGAGAGGAGGAAATAGCGCTAGCAGCAGGAGAAGAAGCTGGACTTTTGCTCTCGTCTCCCCATCTACAGAGAGCTTGAGAATCTGGCGTTGCTTAGAGCTGAGCCTACTTGCCAGTTCGCTCCAAGGCCTCCGCTCACTCAACATAAGTCGGTGCTCCAAGTTCCTTTCCTCATGCATATGGCCTCTCCTTGCCCATGGCTGCCTCACAGATTTAGCCGTATATGGGACCCACAAATTCTTTGCCGGTTTGGAGCCCCCACGGACGCAAAACAAAGAGCCCACAGCCTGCAAACTTCAGGATGTAAACACAGATGACATCACAGGCTTCCTTGCTATGCCCATCTACAGCCTCCTCTCCTCCTCCATCACCAGCTTAAGCTTTAATCACAATCATGAGGTGGAGCGCTTCACTAAGGAGCAAGAGGATGCCCTTCAGCTCCTCACCTCCCTGGAGTACCTCAGTTTTCTAAAGTGCGGCAAGCTGCAGTGCCTCCCGGCAGGGCTACATAGACTTTCTAGCCTCCAGACATTGTGTATTCAGCATTGTGAGGCCATCAAATCGCTGCCCAAGGACGGCCTCCCAACTTCTCTGCAATTTCTACATATCATAGGCTGTCCTTCCTTGAAATCGCTAACCAAGGATGGCCTCCCTTCTTCTCTGGAAAAATTAAGCATCATTGATTGTCCTGCACTGAAATCACTGCCCAGTCACGGCCTCCCAGACTCACTGCGAGTGTTACATGTCGAAGATGATGGAAACAGCGAGGAGCTAATGAGGCAGTGCCGCAAGTTGAAAGGAATCATTCCAATAATCATAGACTGACTAACTAATCCTTCCTAAGGTAACAAACCCACTTGCTTGTTTGCACCTACGATTTTCCCTTGCTAATTCACCGGAAAAGCCACTCACTCACTTTGATTGATGTGCCGTGCAGGTGCAGGGCTAGCTCTTCTTGGTTGTGTACGTACACTTCATTCAGAGTTTGTGGTGCCACTGCTGCATGCATGTGACTGTCGATCGACTTGCTTCAGTCGTTTGCCATGTCATGCTCTTTGCTGCAGATCTCTTATCAATCTTTTATCATGGTAAAAAGCACCTTAATAATTAGTAAGGTACTTAACTGCCCAAAACTTCAGACTAGCTAGTCTACTCTGTCTTTTTTTTTTTTTTAGAAAAGGAGGATGACCCCCGGCCTCTGCATCTGGGAGATGCATACAGCCACTTTATTGATTATTCTCAGGACCTTACAAAGTATTACAACAATGAGTCTGAATCCACCATCTTGGCAACACATGCCGCTACTTCTATCCAAAATGATGAAGGGGTGCTAGCTGGGCCACTACCCAAACCACTCACCTAAGCCTAACATCAAAAGCTGGAAATCGAAACATATTCCGTCTGTCTACTCTGTCTGTGTACAACTGGCTTATTTTCCAGTTTAAATACAAGTTTTCAGTGACACATTTTAAATGGACATATACTGTTGGAATCTCATGTAGGTCATCTGTTCTGTTCGGCCTACTCCACGAGAATGTCCAGTGGACGCAATTTCATCTATTCAGATCTTAGACTCCTTTGTTTTGATAGATAGTACTACAACGTTGGATTTGGATTTTGGAACTGCACAACACAGTAGCAGCAGGTCTGAAGATCTGCCTCCTGTTTGTGCCCAAGTAGAGGTATATAATATGCTAGCTAGAAGCATACTGTCGGTACAGCTAATGCAAATTGTTGTGTGTTACTTGAGTTTTGTTGATGAAACTCCTTACAAGACAAAGACCGAACTGGTAAGAAGGTGTTGTTGATTCAGGCTGTTTTTTGGCACTGACTACGCAGGCAAGCAAGAAGGTGTGGTTTTCTACTGTTCCAAGTTGTACCGTACCGATGCAACAAGTTGTAGAACACTCACTCGTGAGTGTACTTGGATCTTAATATCTCCGAGTTTTGCGACATTATGATACCTTAACAATTATCTCTTCATCATTTTAGTCTTCCAAGGTTGCAGCAGTGAGGGAAACCCATATATTGAGTTTACACTGGTAACTCATCAATCCGAAATTGCTGCGATGAGCATCTAATCAGGCGGGCCAATCCGGCCTTGTCACCTTCACTCACATGGTATCTGCAGTGGCAGGTATACATAATGCGACGTATTGTGGAATTGTTGTCCCCTTTGCCAGCACACGCCGAAGCTACTCGATCGCAAAACGACCAATTAATGTTTCCTTGTCAACCAGAGAATTAAGGCCTGCTTCTTCAAGTCTTGAGCGTGAACGTCGCTAGCTGTTGGAGCTGCCGGCAGGCGGGGGAGTCCGACGAAGACCGGCGTCATGCTGGCATTGCCGGAGTGGCAATGAAGTTCCATCATCAGCGTCAGTTAGCAAAGAACCCAGGAGGGGAGGGTGTCATTTGCTGCAGCATGCAGTTTGAGATGGGTTTCTTGTTACTTTTCAGTTGTTTAGCAATGTTTCAGTAGGATATACAATTTGATGATTCTATATTATAGTATATAGTATTGCCATATCATCCATGCTCAAAATTTCGTTGAAAAGAAAAAAACAACAACTGAAACTGCACACAAATTAAAACATGCTGCTATTTATACTTACTGGGACCCAGGAAGGAAAATGAAGCTACTCAATTATATATAGTTCATGTTTTGCTAAGAAAAATGCGCCTGTAGGCGCCCGTCTGCAGAAGAAAACGTGAAGAACAAAAGATATTACACTCCTAATAGAAGGAGGGATTGCTGGGAATTGAACCGCAACGTTGACAAACTATATAATGCCATGACCACTAGGCCATATTAGCTCTGTTCTCTATTTCAAGAAAATTGTGCTAGTTAACCTTTCGCTTAGCAAGACGTTAACAATTACCCAACATAAGTTGTCTGAAAAAAAACGTAAATTTGAAAACAACTTCATGAATTTTGAAAAAGTACAAAAATTTAAAAAAAAATAGTTCAGCAAATGAGAAAAGAGTTCATCAATTTTGAAAGAAGTTGATCAAATCTGCAAAAAGTTCATCGATTTTGAAAAAAAATCATTCAATAAAAAAATTAATCAATTTAAAAAAACACAAATTTGGAAAAAAATTACATTCAAATGTTTTAAGAAGTTCACAATTTTGAAAAAAACTCATTGATTTGGATAAAAGATCATGGATTTTCGAAAAAAGTTCATCGATTTTGAAGAAAGTTTTCATCGATTTAAAATCACGCATTTAAGAAAAAGAAATAAGGGAAAAACGGAAGTAAGAAAAAGAAAGGCGAACTAGAGAAGGAATAAAAGAACGAAAGAAGTTAATAAACATAAGTGTGGGCGCGCTCTGCATAGAAAGGTCTCATGTTCTATGCATCTCCCACGCACAACTTTTTGCACTTTAAACAGATAAAAGAAAAATGCCAAATTGGCCGGCCCAACTCGCGGCACTTCGGACGCCCGTTTGCAAAATGACTTATAACTGCCCGCACCAAATAGGAACCACCCGTTGCGCCGTCACCAACATGTCCAACATTGCTACATGTCGCTGCTTCAGTACCCCACATGGATCGACGACCATTTTGTTGGACATGAACTTCCATTTTAGTGGAATGAAACCATGACATTTCATTCCACTTTGTTCCGCAACCAAACATACCGTTGATGAGCCCCTCCTCTGTGGTGGTGGTTTCCACCTCCGCCTTGGCCTTGATGCTCACCTCCTCCTCCTCCGGCAGCAGAAACCCTGTCGGCGCCAGACGTACCTTGCTTGGTTAAGGTTTCGATCAAAATCACCTCGATCTCTGTCGATGTATATATGTGTATAGACGTAGGGCACGTCACAGGCAAACTGCACTAACCAACCATGCCAACACATTTATATTAACGAGCTTGTGACACTAAGAATATCATTAAAAAATCATGTGCGAGCGGGGGAATTGAACTCGGGAGCTACATCTCGTGAACAAGTGACGCTAACTAATACTTCCTCCGTTCCAAAATAGATGACTCAACTTTATACTAACTTTAGTACAAAGTTGGGTCATCTATTTTGGAATGGAGGGAGTATATCTTATGACTTCTAGTGATAGATTTCATGGCGCGACCATTTAAGTATGAACATCTTTTGATTTGTTTAGTACAAATTGATCATTTTGGAATATCCATTGAACATTTTCGTAAATGTATGTTGACATTTTCATATTATACGATGAATGTTTTAAATATTACACGCTGAAAATTTTATATTATATGATAAACATTTTTGAAAACAAATATGAATATATGCATCGAACAATTTTCGAAAATACGCATTGAATTTTTTTGTAATATATGCAGAACAATTTTTAAATAAACATTGAACATTTGTGTGATACACACTGAACAAATTTCCAATATACGATGAACATTTTCATAAATGGGTGATATTTTTCTAAATATATCATGAACATTTCCTTAATATACGCCATGAACTTTGTATGAATACAGGGAAAAGGAAACAAAAGAAAAACGATCCACGAATTCTTTTTTCCTTGACGTTTTTGAATCTGTGAACTTTTTTAAAGGCACGAAGTCTTTTTCCATTTTACAGGATTTTTTCTCCAAAATCCATGAATTTCTTTTCCAAATCCGTGGACTTTTTTTTGAAAACCCGTTAACTTCTTTTCAAAATTGTTGAACTTTTTCTAAATCCGTGAACCTTCTTTTTTTCAAAATTCATGTACTTTTTTATTTTGAAATTCTGGTTTAGAAGGTTCTTTTTTTTCGTTTGCTATTTATTACTAAGATGGTCACTGGTTTTTTATAAAATTTAAAATAATTCAAGCAGTCAAAAAAATAAAAAATTACGGGATTTGAAAAAAATATTTAAATTTGGAAAAATGTCCTCTATTTTTTTAAAAAAATCAGGAATTCAATAAAAAAGTAAGATGAAAAAAAAGAAAAATGAAAGAGAAGGAAAAAAAGAAAAGAAAGAAGAAAAACAGAGCAAGTAAACACAATGTATGTTCGGTCCCTGCTGGTTAGTTTCGTCGATCAAATAACACCAACACGGGGCTCGTTTTGAGGCACACCGTACGCTTATTTTTTAACGAAAAAAAATAAGGTGTGTCGGCCCAGCTGGGAGTAGGGTGTAGGGCCCTTTCCCAATTTTTGGTTCTTAACTGAAAAAAACTAAAGTGGGTCGGGCTGGCGGGGAGCAGATGGGCGCCCTCTGTGAAATGCCGCTAAAATCCCGGCTATCCAAATGATGATAAGGTTCGATTCAGACCAGGATTGCATAGTTCAGAGCAATATTTTAAATAGCGGGCTATGAAAAATAGTGGCGGACCTTCAAATTAGCTATAGCGGAGTTATAGCGAGCTCTTTATGAAGGCGACCATTTAGTTGCACCCTCCTGAAGAGGCTATAACAACTATTTATGAAGGCGACCATTTAAAACTATGATTCAGAGTGCAATCGACCAGGAATTTGATTTGGGGTGCATTTCGTCAAACCTCTACAAATTCAGGGTTTAAAATAAACTTTCCTCCTCTGCTGGGCAAAAACTATGTGGTAACGCCAATTCCGCTGGCGAGCAGCCTGTCGAAACGCCAACACATCCCCCCAAAAGTGCCATTCCATCCGCGTCAAGAGACGCATGGTGGTCAACTTGCATGCTGTGCCGCTGGCAATTTCGGTTTTGTCTGTCACTGAACACGAAGATAGTTCGATCGGTCTCATGGGTAGAGACGAAATATGTGATTGTCTCTTGTATTCTGTATTATAAATTGCCTTCACAACACATTCTTGGAAAACTATCTTGCAGCCGATCATGCATTTTTCCACGAAATAAAGTTACAC